GTCCTTTAAACACAAACTACGTGAAAGTCGCATTTTATTCACCACGCAGCGCGATTTCCGTTGACACAAGTATTTTACCGTTCGGTGTGCTATTCAAGTTTGGGACACACTACTAAACACGCAAACCAAGGTACATCGTTCATTTTTAACAACGGCTTTCATAAAAAGAAACACGTCACGAACCATTAGAACGACGTATTCAGGAAATTAAAATATTAATTACTATACTTCTTGACCATGACATGTAACTTTCGTCCGTGCTTTCACTATTTGACTATATTACTGGAAATAGAACTATGATTCTGTGGTAATTTCGCTTGATTTTCAGTTCAGTGCCGTGTATTTTACACTGTTCAATCAGTGCGATTTTATGTCGATGTGTACATGGTATTATGTTTAGCACAACTACTAGTTGATTTTCATTTTGAGCATTAAAAATACATATTGATCTAAAGGATATTTGTGTTTTTGTGACATGCGTATACATTTTTATAATTTCCTAATATAAGATAAGATAATATAAGTTTTGTAGTATTTTTATGTCACAGACTCATAAACGATCGTTGTTTAATGAGTCGAAGGAGGGCAGATAGCTACCTGTTATCGGAAACCTATTTACACGGCCATGATGATAAGTAGATGATGATACTGTGTTATCCAAAGTCCTATGCAATGCATTGTTCAATTTACTACTGTTTATGCCTATCAGATAAGCATTCAAACGTTGTGACACGACAACCAGATAACAAAACGTTGATACGCCCGTATGTATCTCAATGTCCAGTAGAAGAAGTTTCCGATCAGTTTATAGTTGTGTAAAACCTAACAATAAAAACATGGCAATTCCAAATGTATTTAAATTCTTTTCATACAACCACACTAACCATTCTTAAAAAAGCTAAAAACGATAGCAATACATGGCGAGAAGCAGATGAGGCCAAATACGCGTTTGTCGAGCATACTGAAAATATATAATTGTTAGGAGTCATAAATATTTATATCCTCCCACAGAATATAAAATAATTGATACACGGTCGCCAATAAGTTTACTCTCAACCTGTCCTGACAAGGTCGCGTGAGTTGCGCCATCCACGGTGCTCCAAACCCAACACACGCCTGAAAGAATGATGTAGATTTTCACTTCCCCGACAATTTTTTTTGTACCAATCAAATTGCAGGAACGTCAAAGAATAACCATTCACAAGTTTATCCCCCTCCCATTGTTTATCATTTTTGATTTGATTGACCACCGAAGAAATTAATATTCATTGAAACTCATTGCAAGAAGGCGTGAACTTTTCGAATTCGCAGTATTGATCTTGCCGACGAGACATATACACTGTTCTGTCAGGCGTTAGTGAGGTATGATGTCATTAACATATATCCTTATGTATCTCATATTTCATGACAGTTCAGTGTAATGAAATATTTAATAATATCCCAAAATACGCCAATCAAGTTGCTAGTGATTTTACACCACAGTATTTATTTAAATATTATCAAGAAGTACATTAATTTAAATATTTATGGTATCTCATATGTCAGTTAAAACGCGTGTGTAATGTAAAGTTGCATATATTTTCAATGTCGATACAAATTCTCTCAACTCAAATTCTACGTGCACAAAATTTTGTATCATCCAAGTGTAGTGGTAATTTTTCATCGATTGTGTAACGGCCGCGGTTTACAATATCTTACAATATAGGATTTATTCAACATGTATAGTGATTACAAATGAGAAAAATATAAAATTAGTCATAATGTCAATTTATTTATTGCAAAATTATGAAATATTAATATTTTCAGAACTATTATATAAATAGAAATTATAACTATTTAAATTTTTGCTCGTATGTTAAAAAAACAGCGCGGCAATCAGATATTATTATAATGATCGGTAATCCTTAATAAAACGTAATAGAAATATTATAGTTAACCTACAGGTAGTCTTACAGAAATGATTTTAAAATATGGAATTCAAAACATGTCAATCGCTTGCGTTATTCTTGGTCTGCCACACACATATGTAGGTATATCAATCTGTATTGCGTTTACTGGTATATGCCGTTGAGACAAGAAAAGTGGTTTATCTGTAAAACCCTTACATTAGATATGTTCACATTCAGATACCGCATGTACAACATTGGGTGGTAGTTCTGTGATACAGTTGTCGCAGTCATACAATAAGTAATTCAATAAGTAATTCCTCTGACCCATTTCCCATAGCAGGAGATTAATGTAACTTGGCACAGTTATTAGTCTTTCTCTACATAAGAACCACCCAGAGTTATGCAATTCTCACATCGTTTTTAGAACACCCCATGTTGGTCCTCCAACTACGTCGTAACTAAAAAAAGAAAAGGGTGCATCATATGGGAAACGCTTTCCTTTTAAAAACAACTTCATGGCTGCGAAGAGATGAAAGTCAGAGGGTGCAAGGGCAGTAGAGTGAGGGGAATGGGGGAGGATTTATAGCCACACGCCCGTGCTTCTGATCTGGCGACATGCGAGTTGTGGACCGGAGCATTGTGCTGCAGGAGAAGGATACCTTTGCTAATCTTGCTTCTGGAAAGATGTGAGCAACCTGAGAATCCATCTGGCAGACACATCATGCATATGCAAATGGTCATGAATGATAGTTTCACAGATCCTGTGCTGATCTTGCCCTCTTGGGTTATTCGGCGAACAGTAATGCGTCGATCTTCCAAAATGGCTGCCTCAACTTGACGGACAGATGCCTCATCAATGGCAGAAGACGGATGACCAGGTTTGGGAGCTGTTTCCACAGACTTCCGGCCATGTTTGAATTCACGATGCCTGCGTTTTACAAGGTCAAATGACGGGGCTTCATCAGCATAAGTTTCTTTCATTTCATCAAAAGTCTCACTTGGTGTGCGTCCTTTCAAATACAAAAAAAACGGATCACTGCACGACACTCAACTGGCTTCATTTCACACCTGACTCAGTTCAAACACCTGTAATTCAGAAACCACAATTAGTTCAGAGCTGTTTTTTGCAACATAACCCACAGAGATGTAAATCATTACACATTCAAAATTTCAGCTAGATCAGACAACTGGAACTGGGACAGGGGCATTACTTATTGAACGCCCCTCGTAGCAACGAATCTCAAGTAAAGTATGTGGATAACGAGTGTAATCTGTTTTCTCTATATTATACCATGGACACGTTGATCTCACGAACTGCGATGTTATAGTCTTGAGACGTTACGTGAGTGACGGAATTATGATCGACCTGAGGGGTCTGATTTGTCTCATGTCAGAATTGTTTCAGGGAATGAAATAAACTGTCACGCATGCGGTCACAGGTCTTGCTAATGTTGGGCGAGTTTTGCAACGGGATTTGAGTGCTGGTTTTGTGTTCTGTTCTTCTGACCATTTAAAGGGCGGTAGTCGTCGCGCCACGCATGCGCGAGATATTTGGGTCTCATATAAACAAATTAAAGATGGCGACTTTGATTGTTGTGTAGATCAACGAGTAGAAACTGAGACGTTACCAAGCTTTAATTGGGTATTAAAAAAGGTGTTTAGAAGGCATCGAAGGAGTCACGAGCGGTAATTAGTGCTAGTCGCACCCAGGTCTAACCTCATACTTGTTATTTATATTAGAAGTGCGCATTGGATTGTGGGAAAATCAATGTTCAACAACACAAATGTCACACATGCGCAGCGCGACGACTACCGCCCTTTAATTTGCGCATTTTAAAGATGTACCATGTTTATCGCTCTCCACTGAAGGCTAATCATCTTGAAGTACAACATACGCATATCTCGACAAAGACCACTGACCATCACCGAATTACTGACTGTGTTGACTGATACCAGCGTGGAAACCTTGTTGATATATTATTTTGACATTCAAGTAACATGGTCGCTGAGTAAATGTGTTGTGATGTTCAACAAGGATATGCGTAGTATTTAAGTTGAAAATGTTGAACTCTGCATTTATACATGTCAATTTGTCATTTACATGTCGTGCCAGATAGTTACTCTAATTTGAATATTAATGTATTTATGGGGAGCATTGCCGTGTTATTGTATTTTGGAGATGCCCACCTGCCATATTTAATTACATTTTGTGTGTATAAATAATATTTATCAATCCCCACATTCGTGCCTGCACTCGCTGTTTTTACTTAGATTGTACTCAGATGCAATAGAATACTGAAATAAAGCTCACATTTTTCACTTAAACGTAATTCGGAGTGAGCCAATTCCACTTTATTATATTGCATGACGGGATTGATTCTTTAACGATGTTAAAATGACTCATTGAAAACCTCAGATCAAGTCCAGGTCAGAATAGTTACTGGAAGTTTATAGTGCATGAATGTAAACATGATTAATTGGAGACTGATGCTGATTACTAAGGAGATATTGTTATTCACTGCAAAGGAAAATGTGTTCTCAAGAATTACAATTCTCTGCTTCCATATAAGTGTGTCACACCATAATGAAGTAACGAATACAAAATTTCAATTATGAAAATCAATAAAGTTATCGCGAGTATAGACAAAATGTTTGTCATGATTATATGCAAGAATAGAATCCTGAAATAAAACACAAAATTACCACTCAAACGTAATTCACAGTGAGCCACTTTAATTATATTGCATAACGAGATTGGTTCATTAATGACATCAATTCTTTAACAATAAATAATATAAAAGTAAAAATCTCAGATCAAGACAAGGTCAGAATAGTTACAGGAAGTTTATAGTGCATGGATGTAAACATGATTAATTGAGAACATACATTTACATATCACTAAAACGTGATTTACATTATTTTACACGTAACTCGTGTAGGTATATCAGTATGGCACTCAAGCATTAATATAATGATTGGTGACACGAAAAAGGAACTAAATAGATTACATAAAACATAGAAGACCACCGTCTTTAGAAGAGAAATGAAAATTGCAATGTGACTGAATTGGCAACAATCGTCAACAACATGGAATCTCTTTTAAGACAGTCTTTACGCCTTTCGTGGTCTGCCACATACACATGATGTATGTAAATCAATATGTACTGCGTTGTACTGGTATATGCCGTTGACACAAGAACTATAGTTTATCTGTAAAACCCATACACTGGATAGGACACGTTCACATTCCCATACCGCATGCAAACCATTGGGTGGCAATTCTGTGATGCAGTTGTCGCAGTCATAGCAACGAGCCTCCAGTAAAGTTTGTGGATAACGAGTGTAATCTGTGTTCTCTACATTATACCATGGACACGTTGATCTCACGGACTGTGGAGCGCCAGCACCGTATGATATCGGACAGGAAGTATTTGAAGGTGTACTAATTGTACCACTAGAAATACCGAGGCTGAGAGCGTTGGGCGAATATCCAGCCAACATTTGACGAAGTTCAGTCTCATTGAGCTCCGCGCAGATTGGATTTCCATTGAATTCAACAAATAACAGGACAAAAATAATATGCTGGAACTAAACAAGAAAGCGAACAATTAGAATTTTCGGCAAAATTAATCTTAATAAATGTTTCAAATCGGTTGGTTTAATATTTTTTTACCTGCCAATATTTTCAGTTTAAATTATGAGGCAATCATGAACATATCGCATATAATAACATATAATTAACGAGTTGCATATAACTGTATACACCAAAAGAACGGGTTGACTTATAACTCGTGGGCATAGTTTTTTAAAAACAAGCATGAAAGACAATATAGCTGAATTATTTCAGAATGACCTGTATACCATGCATTTAGTTGACTTAGTTGGCAAGAAGTTGTGCCACAATGTTACGTAGTACGCTGATTCCAAAGAGCTGATACATGTTACAAATGAACTGAAAATTATTTTCCATACCAGTCATTACATTTCGTACATAGACGGTATAATGTAAATGTCCTGGTTGGTTGATGTATTTATAAGTGAAGTTACAGTTCCTATACAATGAAACATTGTAAAGAAAAACAGTATTACTCACCATTATTTTAGTGAAGACACCCATATTGATATTGTTGAATAATATAAAGTTGCTGATTTTTTTTCTTCGTTGACGTATATAACTCTTTTCCTAATGCCAAATCCAAAAGTTGGCAGCTCTTTTATGCAGAAAATTTCATGCAGGGGACATTGCAGGGGAAGTCATTTTATTGAGTATCCGTGACGTACTATTTTAAATATAAACCCGAATATATAAGTCCGACTCTGCTGTGTATACTATCATGGCGTGCAAAGCGCAAAGGTCACCGTACTATGGCCGCATTTTGAATTTAATTCAACACACGCTGGGATTTATCTGATAGAGGACTTCCCCTAAATCAGCCTAGAAAAGCTCTACAAGATAAACTCATTATTTCAAATTAAAAAAACAAAGTTTCCAAATTAGAATGTCCATGACAATCATAAACATGTAAAAGACTAGATACTAATTACGTCTTATTGTAGAGATACTTCTCCTTCATGAAGAAGATTTGAAGCGCAAGTGGTATAAATCTATATGTTTGGAACAACAATATTAATCATAAAAACGCGATTGTTTATTGAAATCATGATGAGTTCGAAATTGTTCAATTCTCTAATCATTTATACATTTTATTTGCTGTTTTCAAAATAGTTCTATATCAAATATATAATTAAATATATAAATGTTTTAAACTGAAAAACGTATTTTTTTCTGTACATTCTAAATGTTATTATTGTCGACAATGTTCTTGTTTTGTATTTTTTTTTCATATAAATTACCAGTTAGATTGCGAACAGTTAGGTGTTACGCAATCACTTTTCAATTTTGCAAACACTTGGACTATTTCGTATTTTATCCATTTCCACCTATTTTTTATTGACGGAAGAAAATAGACATGTAAACAAGTTTACTATTAATAGTAAACGGGACTGTCATTACCTCTCAGTTCCTACCACACAAAGATAGCATGCACTTGCTGGAATCCTGTACAATGATTTATCAGCTTGAAGTGTCAGATCACACCATCGTGTTGTTAGAATGATTGGCATATTATCTCGTAAATTCCAATGTCGTACGATAGTCTCTATAGAGTGATGCTATATTAAGTTTTGCAAACAACGCAATATCAATAAGATAATCACATTTGCTTCAGGGTCATAGATAGATAGGGCAAGGAAGACTCACCTGTGCAAAGATATGACACCATACCATGCAGAACATATACAATCCATTCGAAAAGTTCAACCTAATTCCTTTAAGGAGAAATGATTATCACCACTTCTATTCGACTGTATTAAATATGGAAAACAATTGTTCTGTTTTGTTTTGTCTGCCGCAAATGTAACCACTACCTACACGAACTACTAGGTCAGGCCCGCACCATGTACTGCATCCGATTTAGCGGGAGTCGAAACCAGGTATATGATTGGCTTCACCGCACATTAAAGCGAATCTAGCATTCGATCATAAACAAATTAGCTTACCTCCAATGAAAGTAATGCATGCCGATCGTCTGGTATAGTTTGGTATAGAATAGCACGGAGCAATAGGTGGACAATGAAGCTGCCAATGTCATTAACCAATCAGTACTCCCGGCGACACAACCATCAAATAGCCAGCAGCGAAATTTTTCGCACCTATACCACACAGTGTTAAAATACTGCACACAACAATCTAAGTAATCAATCGAGCAACTCTTTAGTCTCTAGGTCGACATTAAATATACATGACGCCCACTATAATTATTTATTCAAGCCCTATTATCACACAAATATTTAAATTTCTGTAATGAACTTTTAACTCTGAGGTCACCGACTATTTTATCTCTTAATAAAATAAGACAAGCGACCTAGCGATCGAAACAGCTCCGGTTTCTTCCTACAAGAACATTGTGGCAGCCAAGTCGGGCAACGCAACCCATAAGACAAAGTGCGGTTAAATAATGTACATAAAAATATCAAAGCAATCGGTTTTTTGATGTTCAAGAGGAATTCAAAAATATAAATGTTTACCAAAATTACAAAAAACATTCGCCACAAATAGAGAATTGAAGAAAGGGAGCAAAGTGAACAAATCTGACAAATGTCCGTAACAAGAATCGAAGCAATTGACCTCGTAGTTCTCAAGAAGTCGAAAATTCAAATTTTGACGGACGACAGAAAACGACGGACAATTATCTATATGAAAAGCTCCGCTCCGCTCTTTTATCTACTAACAGACCTCCGGTGATTACTAAAAGTGCAGTATTTTACATAGTATGTTGAAGTATATTTTGGTAAAACGTTCCGACCAAGATAAAATACTTAGTCCCCTTGCCGTCTTCCCAGGGTTTCAGACATCTCCAGTAAATACTACTTATGAATGTCTTAGTTTAGTGTAATTATTATTTAATAATTAGCACCTATTAACATTTATAGGATGTTTATTTCACACATGTTACGGCTGCGTCCGAGCAAAACTTTCAACTTACTTACTACCTATGTAGTAATACAGGACAGAATATGTAACAGCTGTAGAGAAGACGATAAAGCGCAAAACGCAGTTATATGATTAGTATGACTAGCACCCCTTATCTTCAATTGATTAAAGTTAGGAGCAAGTTACTCAAAATTTTGCAGAAAATACTACTTTAATGAGTAGAAGTGGTGCCAATGCGACAAATACAATATCTCTATTAAGGCAAGTGTTATGAAACGGAAATGTATTATATATTTTGGGATATTGTTACGTTCATTATTTCTTTTATTAATTGTTGTCGAACTATTGTTGACTTTTATTTATTTTTAGCTTCATACCATAAAACATATTTTCAATTTATATAGGAACAATGGCGCAGCACGAACAACACGATCAGATTATGTCTGTTATGTTTATTATGTAAGATTATGTCATACTATAATTAGTCTATTATGTACGCAATAGGTGGACTTAACAGTAAACAGTAGCCAATACACCCATACGTAGCTAGGTTACACCTCAGACTAGCAACGCCTAAATGTTTAGGGTGTCAATAATTGTATATGCTTTGCCTGCCACGCTCGGTAGTATTGACGTAGACACCGTCGAAATTTACCGGACACCGGATATTCTGCACTCTTCGCGCTTCTTCGGAAATTGCGTATTTCCTCGTTAAACGGGTCAGGACATATTTAAAACAACAAGAGATGCGTTCTGGACATTTTGACCGTTGCAGCTGTGTACGAATTATAAGAATCGACCAACAATTAGGTGAGTTACAAGTAACTGAATGTCTTAGTATATACCTTATGTAATGCTGTTGCAGATTTTGCGGAAAGTTTCCGACATTTTTTCGGGAAGGACATATCGCTGCGTTTTGGGCAATCATACCACTTTGTGTGCTGACATTTGTTGTGTGCTCCTGGGTGCCGAAACATGGAATAGCTGGTGCCATATACATGATAGCTCTCAGCGTATCAGCATAAGCAGGTTATCGGTAAACAATGGGGGTGTGTTATTTTTATCGAGTTCGACTTCATAGTATGTGTTATACGCGTTGTTCGTAACTATCGTCTTCAGATTCGCTAATTCTTCCGTAAATGTCATTTTTCAATTTCGGTGTGGTCATGGAGGTAATAAGAATATTTTGTGATAATCTAGTTGCTCACAATGTTTACTCGGTACGATAAGAAGTGATAACCTAAACAAACCTGGGACGCATTACTTAAAAAAAAAATACTTATTTACTAGTGTGATGTTATACATAGTCGCACCCAATCACAGAGACTCCTACTGTACTGTAACTTAATAATGATGATGTCATCGCTTATACGTCACTGATTCAAAAACCATTAGCAACGATCTTTTACTCATTTGTCGTGCTAATTCTAGTCTAATTCTAGAAGGGATGCAACAATATTACATCTGTTGCCAAAATTAAGGTAGAGATACAGGTTCGTGGGCACTTTGGAGTGATTATTTATGCTTTTTATTATCTAAACAATCTTGGCTATAGACTGTTAAAATTTTGCTGAATTGTGAATAGTGGAACATACTCAAAAAACGATTTTTAAATATAGATAACAGGTGCAAACATTCTCTCTTTTGAATGCTTAGCAAGATTTAGCAAGGCTGTACAAAAATAATAAAAAGGAAACATGGTGAAAAAAAGAAATGACGGGATCTCCATATTATGCACTATATTTAACTTTTTACAAAACCATAATACATTTAAATTTGGAACTGTTACAGCCATTTTAATTATAAGCATTTTCAAACTTCTCACTGAGTGAATTGTTATGCAAATTAGCAATTATCTCAGCTTCTTTTTAGTGCACATCCCAGAACTTAAAAAAACAATAGCATGGTTTAGGGGCTATTTTTTTAAAATCACTTTTGAAAAAAAGCAAATTTTTGTGCATATTTCAAACTACAGTGTCCATGAAAAATAGTAACAACATTTTAAAAATCATACAATAAGCTTTTCGAAAATATATAGTTTTGTGGACAAGGGGGGTCATCTTGGTTTCCTAATTAACTAATTAAAATACCTGTCAGGTAAACTGCATCTCTACCTTAAATCCTGACCAATCTGCGATACCGAGCTATTTTATGACCGATGTTTATTTGCATTTACAATCAGGCCGCGGTCTCTTGCATGATTTGTATTACCATACCAACCAAATGAGTCTCAAGTGTGGTGAATGTGAGGTCAAAGGGTGATCTGTTTCGATGGTGTTATGTCCAGTGCATGTCTGTCCGTACTTACCCACTCGGCAAATGAACACATGTTCCTTTTACAAAAATCTGTAGTCCTGGAACTGAGTTCATAATCATTAAATAGAGGATCTTATGCTAGATGCCACCATCTCTTATCATTTTATTCGCATATATAATCTTTATAATTTTATTATATCGTGTGTTGTTAGCTAACACATTGGCACGAACACCTCAGCAATAATAACTTGTAGAAAGCGCGCCCTCTGGTATCCAAGTCCGTCCGTCATGCCACAATGGCGTAGATAGGTGAAGTCAATGTAGAAAACATTATTGTGTAATAACGGTCAATACTATATTTTATCCGG